TTTTTTTTTTTTTTTTTTTTTTTTTTTTTTTTTTTTTTTTTTTTTTTCCGTGGCTCTCTCAGGTCAGAATAATTCAACCCTTCCGCTCCCCGCAGAGCTTTTGCAGCCGCTCACTGAGCTGAAACTAAACGTTTTAGGTGGAAAAAAAGCCTCTGAAGGAACCGTGAAATGATTAAGAAGCCGCGGAGCCCCTCGCCATGTGAGATCATGTCCTGTGCGCTGCAGCATCACAGGATGTCCCCAGGCGCACCCGAGCCTGCCGAGCCCCAACCCCGCCGCCGCGCGGACCGGACCCGCCTGGGGCCCGCCGACACCCGCAGCCCGGCCGCCCCCGCCTGCAGCCCACTTCCCCTTCTTCGCTCCCCTCCGCGGGGGCGGAACGTGGCTTTGTCCCGCGGCAGCGGGGGGACCCTGCGCGGCCCCGTTACCCTTCCCCGCGCTGCGTGTCACGGCCGGGAGAAGAAGGCGAAGGGCGGCTGATACCCAGAGCCGGGCCGGGGGCTGCAGGGGATGCGGCGTTTATTTGTCAGCGTGGTTGCCCGGGGAAAAAAAAAAAAGAAAAAAAAAAGAAAAAAAAAAAAAAAAAAAAAGAGCAAAAAAACAAACAAACAAACAAAAAAAAAAAAAACAGAAACAAAAAAAAACGAAATAAGAGCCCCTCCAAAAAAAAAGCACTTTTTTTCCTTTCCCGGAAATAAGGAGAAACGGAAAGCAGCGGCAGACCGGGGCAGCCCCGCATGGAGCGACTGCACCGCGCCCCTGCCCTGAGCTGCCCGACGGGGCCCGGCCCCTTCCCGCGGGAACATGGAACGAATGAAGTCCATGCAAAAACCCGAGCCCACTCCTGCACGGCGTCCCCCGGCCTCAGCCGCCCCTCTCAGCAGTGCTTCTCCCCCCGGTTCTCTCACACACCAATAACCACAGGGATGGAGCCCGCTGCACCTGCACTGAGTGTGAGCAGCGCTGCTCTGCACGGGAAGTGGAAGGAAAAAAAGAAATAGAGAGAGAGAGAGAGAAGATCATTAATAATAATTTTAAAAGGAAGCAAACAAGAACAACAAGCCGTGCTGGGATGGACCCCTACAGGCTCCCCGCCTGCTGCCTCGCACACGCCCTTGGACTCCTGGACTTTGTCGGCTCCCTGGGCCTGCGCTGCCCCTGGGCTGCGCGGTGCGAGCGCATTTGAAAATAGCACGCAGGGCTCTGCGGCCCCGGCTCTCGCCCTGTGCCCCGCCGGCTGAGAGACGCGACGAGGGGACGGGGGTCGGCTCCGGGTGGTGCGCTGTGGGGGGTGGGGGCGATGGGAGTCCCCGCTCGGTTCTGTCCGCAGGAGAGGGGCTCGGACTCAGCGACAGGCAGCGCGGTGCCCCCGCAGCCCCGCGCACCGCGGCGGCTGTGCAGCAGTAGGGCCGGGGCTGGAGGTATCTCCGGGAAAAGAAATGCTCCGCTTCTGCTGGCAGCAAACGTCTGCGGTCGGCAGGGCCTGAAAGGGCTGTGCACGGGGCTGCGGCTCAGGGAGCTGGAAGGGACTCCAAACAATACCACAGTGCCGTTCTTCCAACGAGCAGCTCCGCGGTACGACCCTGGATTTGTATCTGACAGCCACCGGGACGAGGGCACCGCGGAGCCACGGCTGCAGGAAGAGGGCATCCCCGGCCCGCAGCATCCCCAGGGCCGTGCTCTGCGGGCGGCGAGCGGCCGACACGCACGGAGCGGGGAGATATGCTGCGGAGCGGCGTAAATCTGAGTTTTGGGGCCTTTTGAGGGCCGCTGCTGCTTTCCCTCAGGTGGTGAGGTCATGGATTTTTTTTCTGTCTGGTTCACAGACCTCGGAAGTGAAAGGGCAATTCCCCTGCCCCGCGGCGCTCTCGCAGCTCACAGCCCCGGCTCGGGGCCGCCCGGGAGTGGAGCGCCGGCAGAGCCTTTCCCCTCGGCACTGCCCGCACCGGGACCGGGCAGCCCATTCCCAGGAGGCGACGCAGTGCGGTGCGGGGCGGACGGGGGCAGAGGGCCGCGCAGAGCCCTGAGCCTCGGCAGCACACCTCGTGTCTTTTGCGTTGTGTCACCTCCGGGCCACACAGCAGCGCCCATCCCGGCCGACCGGGGGACGCCGGTGCTCTTCTGCCCCTGGGCAGCAAGCGGGGCGCGTTTTGCTGCGGCACAAATATCCATCTCTCCCGAGAGTGCCTCAGGCTCCCTGTTCTGTCTGTTTTTTTTCACTTTACAACACCACTGAGGGAGAACAGCAGGCCGCCGAGATCGAACGGACCCTCGGGACGAGTTTGCCCACGACCGGAGCCAGAGCGGGTGGTGCGATCCGGACTGTCCCGGGCACTCCGTGCCGTGACGGCCGCTACCCTCAGGGCACAGAGTGCGGGCAGCCCAGGGTGGAGATGGGGCGGGGAGGGACAACCCACGGCAGTGCTGTCCCGTGCAGGAAAGCCCCAGGCAGGAGCTCATCGGCCCCGTCGGACAGCGGTGCCACCACCGGGGGCTGATGGTAGGAGATGCGACGTTAGGGCAGCAGTTAGATCCCGCAGCGAGGCTGCAGCTGGCAACACGGCAGGTTTTGTTCTTAAGAGTATGAGAGAAGGGCAGGAAATGCCGCGACTTCTCCTTTTTGGTCAGTGTGCATTACTGCTTCTGTTCTGCCCTCACCCAGAGCTGTTATGCTCACTCCGAGCGGTGCTCGTGTCTACTCGCCCTGCTGCAGCAGCTCTGCTGCCTGGCAGTGGGGAGCAGAAAGCTCATGGCACTATGACTGCGTGTGTTGAACCTCCATGGTACCTCTGCTGCCTGC